ATGTGTGTCCAAAAATATTTTGAATTTCTACCTATTTCGTGTTCTAGTGTAGATATGTATTTGCCATAGCATGTTTCTGTAAGTATTTCACAGTCGTGACGTAGGTATTGAAATTCTAGTAGGTCTAGGGGATTATTATAGATCTTGTATCTTCTATGAAACTTCTTTTTTTGCTTTAATAAATATATCAAATAAGAGTTGTACCATACCGGATGCCTATTGCCACATTTTTTACTTTTAGGCACATATAGATTTATTATTTTATAAAGTATTAGATAGAATTCATTAACCATGTCGTTAATATTATCATATTTTAAAAGTACATTTGCCCATAAGATTTCATCTAGGGCTTTAGTAATCTGATCGTAATCGCCTTTAAAATAGTTATTTTTCTGTAATTTCACGTGATTTGGATAATAACTGGAGGGTATTGCAATAGATACTTCTAATGGTGGATGGTGAGTGTCAACATTACGTATAGGGTTGGAACATTCATTAATCTTTACTATTTCGGAGTTACAAAAAAATAAGTCTAAAATTTTTTTATTACTATTTGTAATAGAATTAAATTGCTTGAAGTCATTTAATTCCAAGAAATCTAAGAGTAAATTATGTATGTTATTGTTGCTGTTTAAGATCGGTAAAAGATACGTACCAGAGCTATGTTGTTCCCAGGTTGCATTTGAAATATTAAAGTCACCTGCTATTAACGTGTGTTTTGTGTTATACTCGTCCATGATTCTATTTGCGTTATTAATGAATGTTCCAAATAAGTTTTGATTTAGGGGTGGTGGTAGGTACACAACACAGATTTTAAGAAATTCGCATTTCTGACCTATAAAAATCTTAACTTTTACCCAAAGATCTTCACATTCAGTATCGCAATTAGATATTCTACAAGATGTTAAATTGTTAGATACAGCTATGAGAACCCCGCCACCAAGTTTATTAATTGCACGATCTCTTCTGTACACTGTATATCTATCGTCAAAGATTTCAGAATCATAAACTGTGCAGTTTAACCACGTTTCTGTAAGAATTATAATGTCAAAATTATTGTTTTGGATTTTTAATGAGACATCCCTAACGTTCGATCTTAGGCCTCGGACATTCTGGTAATAACATGATATATTATCGTATGATGTGGTAGGATAACCCAGCACATTTGTATAATTTATTGTAATATTTAATAAATTAATTCAATTAGCTTAGACTGTTGAGAGATTCAATATTTTTAATACATTTATGTTCAGATGACTCGGTTTTTCTTACATATATACGTCCCGATTTAATCCATACATATCTATAGCCCATTTCTTTAGCTCTAACACGGGTTGCCGCATGAAGAGACTTCATAGCCGGAGATAAATGTTCCATAACATAGATAGGTTTTTGTTCTCCTGACATCCCTATGTGACTTGAATTAAGCTTTTTGTCTTTGTCTTTCTGTTTCTTATTGAAAACCATTGTCGATGCGAGAAAACCATCTCGTACTCTTGGGCTAGCAAACTTTACGAGTACAGAGCGTGGTTTGGAACTATTTTTATCCATTTTTGATATTCTAGTGCATAAGTGAATATCTGTTTCACTTAATTTATACTCTGTTACATTTGCAATTTGCTTGATAACACTTACAAGGTTTTCTGATTTGTGTTCTGGTATACAATGTATTTCTATATTGCTAGCCCTCGAATGGTGTTCCATTTGTGCAAGCCTGGCGCTGAAGTCCGCGAATGAACTTTTTAGCTCTTTATTTTCAAGTTCTAACTTCTTCAGCAATTCATTTTTAGTTTGTACATCAGCACGAATTTCTTCATATTTTGTTTCGAAGAAATTAAGTGAGGTTGTCAATTGCTCTACACGCTCTATAAGTTCATTGTTTTTTATCTCCATATTTTTTAGCAAATTAGTTTCAAAATGCGAAAAAGCAATGTTAAATTCATCCCTCACTATACCTCGTATTTCTTCCATAGATAGGTTATTCATGGTAGAAACATGTTTATCCTCTAATTGTGAGTCCCACAACGATGTATTCTGGCTCGAACTCCCGCTTATTTGGTTATCTGGAACTTCCTGTCGACTTTTGTATCGCATGGTAACATTAGAATGGTCAGAGCCAGGAGGAGCGGATGAGGTATTTGATGGCTTCGAGGTGCTGATGCGGACCGGAGTATTTGTATTGTCATGCTTTGGTATTTTGCAACGGCAGGCATGACAGATCCAGGTATTTTTATTATCTTTACTCATTAAACTGAATTTATTTTGAGTCAAGTTTGCACACAGGAGATCATAAGAATCATTACAATTATGACAAACCAAATACTCCTTACGAAGATTTGCAGAACAGCCTGCACAAGTTTTCGTCATTTTTATATATTTATTTTAGGTGAAGTTCGGTCTTAATAAAATTATTAAGGCGGGTAATTAGCAAACAAAGTATCAACGAAAAGGAACTCGACTAGCCGCTGCAATGATTCACACGCTCGAACGCGTTTGAGCCCTCACTAGACAAAGCGAGCGTAATCGTTTGTAATGTATTTAGTGACAGTTTTAAATGATTTTCTTAATTACTAATAAATCACGCGTGTTATCACTACACTTTTAATGTCAAACCACAACTTCACTATTGTTTTAAGTAAATATGCAAGTTAAAACATTTGAAAGTTCGATTTACTAGCTTTAACTAATTTTTATTGCGGAGCAAATAAAAACACTGTTAAGCTGTCAGCGCACGGACGTTTATATATTCTTACACTGCCTTTACATACCAAACACTTACAAAAATACATTAGTCATCAATTTTCTTGATAGTTTTATTTTCCATATTTGTTAGCATTAAATTGGAGGAACCGATCATTAAAAATAAGTACCAACAGCTTTAAAATAATTAAATTAAACGTGTATAATTTTAGTAAGCTTAAGTGGTTATCAATTAACTGCTGTTTTGTTGAACTGGTGACTGAACTCTATTGTTTAAATTAGAATTTTTAATGATATTAATTAGTTTTTTTTTATAGAATACAAACGAGCAATGTAGCAATGAGCAAAATAGGGCAAACGAGCGTGCGGCTCACCTGATGGTAAATGGCTACCGCCGCCCATGATCAACCGCAACATCAGGAAAATTGCAAGTGAGTTGCCGGCCTTTTAGATAGGAGTAGGTTAGCTCTTTTCTTGAAGGTCCCTGAGTCGTATCGGTCCGGAAAAATCGTTGATGGTAAATTATTCCACAAAGAGGTCGTACGAGGAAGAATACTCCTAGTGAAACGCACTTTGGTGAATCGCAAAGAATCCAAATGATGAGGGATGGTATCGCTTGAGTTTTGTCGCGACGTGCGTTCGTGAAATTTGGCGGCTGGAATTATCCCAACAATTCCTCCAAGCACTCCCCGTGGTAAATGTATATATATATATATATATATATATATATATATATATATATATATATATATTTATATATATATAAAGTACGTGTCACGTTGTTTGTCCGCGATGGACTCCTAAACTGCTTATCTGATTTTAATCAAATTTGCCCACCGTGTGCAGTTTGGTCCAACTTGAGAGATAGGATAGTTTTTATTGCACATGTGTGACCCACATTTTTTTTTTGCGAATTTAAGGATTTTTTAATAGGACATTACAAAGGGTCGTCGAAAAGGGCAGAACAACGTCTGCCCAGCAAGCTAGTATATATATATATATATATATATATATATATATATATATATATATATATATATATATATATATATATATATATATATATATATATATATATTTGCGATAGAAAATTATACATTAAAATTATATATCCAAGACATATTATTCCTTTTTCTTATTATTTATTCGTTTCTTTGGTTTTAGACCTTTCTATAAAAGAGCTAGTAATATCATTGATATACAGGTGCGGACTACTAAGGAACGAACTGTGCGCTATTGGTTTAATCACTACCGTTCGGGAAATTTTGACCTTATAAATAAATCTCGTGACCACCCGAACCAGAAGGTTGATATAATTGAAGTATAATGTATAATAAGGTTAATAAAGACAAATTTAGTGGAATCGGATTCGCCTCAAACTAAGGTGATGGCTGAACAAGCATCGGCTTTTCATGAAAATGTCAAAAGAATATTGATTCAGTGCTGCAAATCGGTTAAATAAAGAAGCTTAACAAATGGTTATCGCACGAACTGAATGAAGCACAGCGAGAGGCTGAGTCCAAGTTAACCAAGTTTGCATCATATCGCCTAACCGGCATGAAGAGGAGAGGGCTCCGCACATACTACACAACAGACGTTGGTAACATTAGCAGAGCTAAATCTGGAGACCCTTCCTCAACCACCAAATTTTACAGACTGGTGGTTGAGGATTAATTGAAATTTTCAATTCATCCTCAGACTTTTATAGCATGGACATCAATTAAATGTCCATAAGATAGCAAAAATATGTTAATAGTTTAAGCAAATATTTTTATCACTTAATTAAAAGTCTTTTTAGTAAAATATTATTCGCAAATTTATTGAATTTGATTTCTTTCGATTTGATTCACCATTTTTATTTTTTATGCTCATAAATCCTAATAAAAATCATAATTAATAAATAATAGAGAAAAGGTTTATGTTTATGCTTTGGCGCCTAGATATAGCGGGGTTTGTGTTGTCTTTCATGTGTTAAGACTATCTGAAACGGTGCTCGGCTCTCGATAGCCAACGGAACCTTAGGTCATCAAGGAAACTTCAGTTTTATACCGGTATATAAATTATTTTTTTATTAAAAATGTTGAGGTTAGTAACATTCAATAAATTATTCAAAAATCATTTGTCAACATCGGAAACAAAAACGATCCGCAATGTTTACGTAATATGCATATTACGATACCTTACATCCTAGTTAAATACTGCACTCATACAATATATTACAAGCGTGGTTTGAGCCGCCCGATCGTAATCTCGGTGTAGGGCATCATAAATTAGAAATAGTCTCACTTGGCAATTTGAAATTAGAAGCACTTCCTGTGCACGATCGAGGGGCCGGACTCGTCGTACTCCTGCTTCGAGATCCACATCTGTTGGAAGGTCGACAGGGACGCGAGGATGGAACCTCCGATCCATACGGAGTACTTCCTCTCTGGGGGCGCGATAATTTTGATCTTCATTGTGGAAGGAGCGAGCGCTGTGATCTCCTTCTGCATACGGTCGGCGATGCCGGGGTACATGGTGGTACCGCCGGACAATACTGTGTTGGCGTACAAGTCCTTACGGATATCAACGTCGCACTTCATGATCGAGTTGTACGTCGTCTCGTGGATGCCATTAGCTTCCATACCCAAGAATGAGGGTTGGAAGAGGGCTTCTGGGCAACGGAATCTCTCGTTTCCAATAGTGATGACCTGACCATCGGGAAGTTCGTAGGACTTCTCGAGGGAGCTGCTGGAGGCAGCGGTGGCCATCTCCTGCTCGAAGTCGAGGGCGACATAACAGAGTTTCTCCTTGATGTCACGCACGATTTCTCGCTCGGCTGTGGTGGTGAATGAGTAACCTCGCTCTGTGAGGATCTTCATTAGGTAGTCTGTGAGGTCACGGCCGGCTAAGTCCAGACGGAGGATGGCATGGGGCAACGCGTAACCCTCGTAGATGGGCACAGTGTGTGAGACACCGTCACCGGAGTTAAGAACGATACCGGTGGTACGACCGGACGCGTACAGTGACAGTACGGCCTGGATGGCCACATACATGGCGGGTGTGTTGAAGGTCTCGAACATGATCTGAGTCATCTTCTCTCTGAAACAAAAAGAAAGGGGCGGCAATTAATCAGCTGTCTTTAAGAATGCATCAAATTATCACTGGATTATTAATTCTCCCACGACCTACCTGTTGGCTTTGGGGTTGAGGGGAGCCTCTGTGAGCAGAACGGGGTGTTCCTCGGGCGCGACTCGCAGTTCATTGTAGAAGGTGTGGTGCCAGATCTTCTCCATGTCATCCCAGTTGGTGACGATACCATGCTCGATGGGGTACTTGAGGGTGAGGATACCTCTCTTGCTTTGCGCCTCATCACCCACGTAGGAATCTTTCTGTCCCATGCCCACCATTACACCCTGGTGGCGAGGGCGGCCCACAATTGAGGGGAACACAGCACGCGGGGCATCGTCGCCCGCAAAACCAGCTTTGCACATACCGGATCCATTGTCCACTACCAGCGCGGCAACTTCTTCGTCGCACATTGTGAATTAGTCTGTAAATAATTTAATTTCTTTATTATTTAAATAGAATTTAAATACCTAATATTAATTCGAAAAGTAACTTAGCGCTCTCCAAATTTGGATAACTTCAGCAATCGCTATCTTATCATCATAGTACTTCGTATTGTTTTACGCTTATCATAATATGAAGATAAGCTAGTTAGACAAAATTTACAAAGAGTAAGTTACTAAGGTAATATTACACGACTAATATTCATAATTTAGCTGTGAGATTAAGAAATCAAAGTATCAAAAATTATGTAATTTTTGTCGTACATATATTTCTTTACTGAGAGGATTAACCGGCATGATTACGTCTCTATTTAAATAATATCATTATATTATGTTATTTAATGCCTACAAATTACTAATCTATACTCACTGACCTCTTGTATATTTAGAGGTCAGTGTCTATACTATAATAATCGGGAGCTACATTTGTCAGAGGCTCACCCAAAATAATATAACAGTCGACTGATTGACAAAAATATGTAGTCAAAAAAAAACACAAAAAACAGCCTAAAGATAAAATACTTTACTGTATCCTGGCGAACCTAATCAGGATATTAGGATAAACTTATAAAATTATTATATTTTCATGGGTCCTTGATACGAGTGCAAATTTTCAAGTCAATCGTTCGTCTTGGTCGGTGATAAAAGATTCCGTTACATAGATAGATAGATACACGTGAACGTGAAAAAGCGAGTTAAAAAGGATGCTCTATTTGTTCTAATCAGATGTAAAAACATTGTACGTTATACGATGTTATTAAATGTTAGCCCTTCTCTAATTTCTGTAGGAAAGTTATGTAGCATTCAGTTTGCCTGTTCGTCACATAGCCTCGAAATATTTTATTCTTCACTTCTTCAAACATGCAGTTTTTCTCACTATGTTTTCCCTACCGCCGAGCACATAATAAATTACCACTTAATATTTCAATTATCAATACATAATTTCATTAGTACCGACGGAGATTGAACCCAGGTTGCTCACGTACTGTGTTTACGGCGGGCGCTTAGCCCTTAAGTTACCAAACTAGATTTTTCCAACTTTTACCTATGCTAAAATAATCTATTTACTTAAGACTCATATGGAGAAAAAAAAATTAACAAGTCCCAAAAAACTTGTAACCTCAACGTCACAGCTCAATTTTTTAATATTTTCCACTAACTCATTAATAGAGATAACAGAACGTGAAAATTTCGAATAAATTCCAGTCAGCTGATAAAGATCTTTACAAAAAACGTTCCACTTCACTGTATTAACATTACGTAACCGTCCCGAATTGCGTAAAAACCGTGAAAAATCACAATTATATACTGTAAGTACTGTAGCAAAAACTTTCCAACACTGTTAATGCTTTAATTTTAAATTTATTGTTATTAAAAATAAAACTTACTTTTTAAATTAAATATAAATGTAGTGACTAGTACGACCGCTAGCTACGTCCAGCTCACCTCACAAAATGAGGAAAGGTACGTGAGGATAAGTATATAAGACGCGTCTTATCACAGTTCACGTACTATCGGCTACAATTATGCCCCCACCAATCCAAAGTTGGTTCATTTTTCGTAACCATATATGGTAAAGGCAGTGCCATATCCATTATCCACATGCTTACACACTGTGATAAGGCGATGCCTTGATAAGCGATGGTAATAACATTTTATCAATGCTATCGCTCGATTCGTGTACGCACTCCGCAGTCCCACGAAGTGAAGCGGCCACGTACGAGTATAATAATATTATGTTGTGTGTAATTTGAACTCTCAAGGAAGAACTAGAGTGAGATGATGTAATTCAACTCTTGTTTTCATCGATAAAGTGCGTAATTGCATTCATATTATGAAAATAAGATTTCAATTATTTTCGATATTTCAAATATAAAATATATGAAAACTGTAACTTAATAAATATAAGAAAAGTTGATTGAATAAATCATAGTCTTCTCGGACAAATGAGTTGCTAATATTACAGTAGTTATTAGTTTATATCTATCTATTATTAAACAAAAACTGTTTATTACTCAAATATTTGGATTAAAATTACTACATCTAGAAGAATCGATACTGAAGCAAGAACAATTTTTTTATTTTGTGTGCGCGTATTTCTAATTTTGACTTAATTACTATTTTCGTTTCAACACGTTTGAATTAAATTCAATCGAAATTTTGTAATCATATTATACGTAAGTTTTGCATCATTTATACGTGGTAGAGCCATGCTGCAGTTATATTAGTAGTATAGTTGTAGCACGAATGGGTCAGCTTCACAGAACACTTAATATAGCTATAGGTGTTCTGTGGTCAGCTTGGACACGCTCTCACAGAATGCCAGCGTAAAATAGTAGTTAAATGCTAATATTTTACGCTGGTATTCTGACCCTTTTTACTGGAAACGAGGCATTCCATCTCAGTCCTCATGGGTGACAACGCATCTGCATTTTGATTTATAATCGAGGATAGATGTAGATGTCTATGGGTCGCAGTAACCACTTACCGTCAGGTATGTTCGTTTGTTACCCTATCCTATAAAAAAATCATAAACACATTGACGGAATTGTTACAAGGAGTCTTCAAATGTTGGGGTTCGTTTTGCGTAATTCCAAAGAATTTAAGAGGACCTCTATAAAAATTTCCTTGTCTTAAAAATACTTGTGTCTTTAGTCCGTTCCGGTCTCGAATACTGTAGCCAGGTCTGGTCTCCATTTTATGGCATTGTCGTGAAACGCATAGAGCGTATCCAGAAGCGTTTTTATGGCCTTTCGTATCAAACCTACAAAATAAAGGATCTCCCCTCATACGAAGATCGACAGACCGAGCCTGCGACAGCGGAGGCTTTCATTTTCTTCATTGCTGGATTTCATGTTGCTACACAAACTCGGAACCCGTACCCGAACGGAAACGTAGATTTTTCATATCTACTAAGTTCATTTAATTTTAATGTACCATTCAAGCTAGTGCGTGTCAGCCGATACGTCCCCTTTTCAGTTGAAAGCAGTAAAACTAATTTGGGTCACCACGCCACCATACCAGGCTACAGAGGCAATATAACCAGCTCTGCAAGACATCTGACGTCGATATCTTTGCTGATAGGCCTCAAAAAGTCAAGCGAAAGTCCAGTGTGAAAGTGCAGTCCTTTACTGTTAGCTAACATTTAGGTCTATATAGTTTTAAGTTTGTAGTTGTAAGTTTTAAGAAACATATTTGTTGTTCACATTGCATGCCGTAGCAACCTTTAAGACGACACTTAGATATCAATTTTCTTGTTATTTCTAGTATTTAAATTGTGTTCGTGTAGGTATGTCTTTTTGGTTGTCGTAAATAAATAAATAAAATAAAAAATCATCATTGTTATAGCTTTTCACAAGTTCGCTATTGAAAAAAGGCCTCCCTCATGCACTGTCCATCCCGGTCTTAAGCCACCTGCATCCATCGCCTTCCTGCATCTCTTCATCAGGTCGTGACTCCATCTAGTGGGGACCGGCCTACACTTTACTTGCCGGTACCACGCTGCCCCCTGAAAACCTTTTGTTTCCATCATTTGTCAATTCTACGAGGGTGACACTGAAAGTTCTTAGAAAATCAAAGACTGAAAAAACTAGCAAGTAATCAAGTTTTATTATATTTTTTCAAAGTGTCCATGTACAAATACATCCTGCATCCGATGGAACCACTGAGAAAAGCACTTTGCCCATTCTTCCTTAGGGGTCTCTTCGACGGCATTTTGAAACGCAGCCACTGCTGCCTCGGCGTTCATAAAACGTTTTACTCGAAGTTTTTCTTTTATTTTCGGAAATAAAAAAAAGTTGGCGATAGCATAGCATTTTTTTCACTTATGCAATTATAATTATTTATTTATTTATGCAGTTAAGTCTTTGATATTGTCGGTGGTGAGATAAGAAAACAATTTTTTCTCTTATTGAATGAGAAGTTAATATTGTTTAAAATTTTTTTATGGTTGGTGAGGGAAGTTGGTTGGGGGGTGTGTCGGTCCCCGGCTAAGGCCCGCGATGAGTTGCAATAAAAATCGCAAGGTGCGAGGTCAGTTTCCACGTCTGACGTCACCAAGTAGTCGATTGTTTGCTTGGCGATGTGCGACGAGGCGTTGTCGTGGTGAAGGAGGATTTCTGTGAGGTCGTTTCTCCCGAACTTTTTCCAAGACAAGTAGCAAATAATTGTTAGTGTACCACTCTGCAGTAACTGTTTTTCGATTCTCTAAAACAATTGTTGCGTGATAAATGACCTGTCCTTCCGAAGAACGAGGCCATCATCTTTTTTCCCACGCTTCGACCTCTCTTCACTTTAGTTGGCAACTCTTCGGAAGGAAACACCCAGACATCAGACTGTCTCTTAGTTTCAGGATCATAACAATTAATCCAGCTTTCGTCTTTCGTAAGTATATCGAACACAGCATTTGAATCACTTCCGTTAAATCTTTGAACCATTTCAAGACACCAATCAACGCGACGGAGTTTTTGGGCCTCTGTCAAATTATGAGGTATCCACCGGGTACAATGCTTCCTGACCGCTAAATGATCACGGAGGATTTTGTGCACTTGACTCATACCGATGCCTAAGCTTGTCCAAATCACTGATAAGTCACTCTTTTGTCAGTCTCTATCATACGCCGCACAACGCTGATGTTATCTTCAGCGTCGCCGTTGAAGGCCGTCTCTCACGCAGATCATCGTCGAGATTAGTGCGACCACGTTTAAACTCATTAAACCGGTTGTAAACAGTGGCACAAGATGGGGCTACATCGTGAAAGGCCAATCGAAGTCTATCATAACTTCTTTGTTGACTTAAATGGCATCGAGTCATAAAAAAACATTGTACGAAAATTTTCTCGCGTAAAATTCGTGCTGGCGTGATAGTCAATTTTCAATTTGCCGCCAAATCATAAACAAATGACAAATTAATAAAATACATACACAATAATATTAGCAAAAAGCCATTTCCATTCTCAAAATTTTAACTTA